GGTTTCTCTCCAAAGATAGCTAAATGGTATAGACAATGAGGACCTCTTCTTTGTAGCCTCACAGCTGTAAAACACCACCAAATGCCCAATAAAAGCACACAAGGTAATTATCATTTAGATACAAACATGGGTGCGCCAATAGACCAGCGGTGTTTATAGATAATTCCTTAGACTCCGTTTATTAAAACATGTATTTTCATTGAGATCTTGCTCATTGAAGTGTTTATACTTTGCTCAGGAGTACTGATAAAAATATTTCATCCATGTCTCTTTATGTGTGAAAAATAGAGCTAGCACTCCTAAAAGGCAGGGAGAAAAATCTTGAGGAATTGAAATACCATCTCTATTATGCATTCAGCCTCCTGACCAGGTGAGCACAGCCATCTCTTAACAAGGCTGTTTAACTGCTGTCCAGGCATTTGGACAGGAGAGGTCTTTGTGCCAGCTTCCTGATTGCAGAGGTGTGGTAGGAAAGGGTTAAGGAGTTGAGATTCCGCTCTTTCTAGACCAAGAAGAGATAAAAGCCCAGGCTTATGTTGCACAAAGTGTGGGTTGTCCTTTTTCCTATGGTTTTGCAAAAATTACACCCCCTCTAATCAGCTTGAAATAAACTCAAGGCAATCAAGCAGACCTTTTGTGCTATATCCATTTTTATGTCCTCCCCGACACACTCCCCTCAAAAAAGGAGAACCTTTTCCTTACGCTTTTCCTTCTTTTTATTTCATTAAGAAGTAAAGGGAAAAGTTCCGTTTATAGGAAGGATACACACTCACACACACACACACACACAGAGCCATCCACATAGGAGAATCAAATTGCAGGATCAACCTAAAAAAAATGAAATTTTATTGTTTCTTGCTTAATTAAACCCCAAAGAAATGTGTGAAATGTTGTTATGGCTGAAAAAAAATTGTTAATTTGTAAATCACAGGGACAAAAGGGGCCCCTGTGCAACTTTAAAGTTTCCGTGCACGTAAATGTCGATAGCGTGCCTTCTCCATCATCAGCACTAAATTCACATTGATGCCTCTTTTCTTCTCCGTATTGATCCTTCCATGAGAACGTAGATTTGTATCTGTTAATTAATGCGTCCTGAAACAGCGTTTGTATTAATCAGGCAGATAAGAAAAATTGGATGCCTGCATCCTCCTGACAACCGTAAAAGTGCTGGCCCTGATAAAATCGTGGATGGACCTCAATAAAAAAGTTCCTCCTTCCACTCAATAAACTAATCATCCTGCTTTTAATTATTCGGCAGAAAGATGTGTGGAGATTGGAGAATGTGTAAATCTATTTACTAACAGCGGTGTCTGGGGGGAGAATAGGGCTGTCACAGGAAGGCGCTGCAGGCCATGCGCTCTGTCCATCTGCTGCTGCAGAAAAAAAAACTGCTACTTGGGAGCCGGAAAAGGAGCAAGAAAACCAAAGCCAACTGAAAATACCCATCCCTCTTTGCTCATGACTTTCAAGATGAGGCTTTATTTTTTCGTCTGTTTCATTTACAAAAGAAATTCCTACTGAGTCCCTTTTCTTAAGTTAGCTATTTGAATTTGCATTACGTCTTTTTCTGGGGATGGGAGTGTAGAAAAAAAGACCAGTATTGTTGGTTCATTTATTTATTGGTTGTAAGCAGAACATTCTCAAAATCAAAAGCAAATGGAGCCACACCTGCTCGGATTAGATCGTGACTTTCCTCTTTTGAATCCCCTTTCAAAGTGTTTCTATCTCTAATTCTTTTTTAAAATATATTTTGGTTGAAGTATAGTCAGTTTACAATGTTGTGTCAGTTTCTGGCATACAGCACAATGCTTCAGTCATATAGGAACATACATATATTTGTTGTCATATTCTTTTTAAGCGTAAGTTACTACAAGATACTGAATATAGTTCCCTGTGCTATACAGTATAAACTTGTTGTTTATCTATGTATTAGTTAGTATCTGCAAATCTCAGACTTCCCATTTATCCCTCTCCTCTCCCTCCCCCCACCACCCCGTAACCATAAGTTTGTTTTCTATAGCTGTGTATATCTCTAATTCTAAGAGGATATTTATTAATGTAACCCCACATTGCAATGACCCCTGCAAAAACAGAATGGGAAAAAAAGGAGAAAAAAGACTTAGCCAGTCCAAAAGATCAGTTAAGTAATATGTAAGCGGCTAGATAAATAATGAAAGAAGTGCTTTTTACATGTGCCTTAAGACCCCTTCAGAAAAGCCAGACTAATCCCTCTTGATGATTTTATTAAACACTGGTGGTTAATGGTGCCAAATGGCAAACCACTAGTGTTCTCCCACAGGCCAGGAAATCCTTTCCTTTTCTCTGTCATGCTGTAGTTGCTAATATCACACCGAATACGAACAGTTTGTTATGAATAAAAATGACAAGAACAGTGACCATGAGCAGGAGCCTAAGAAGGCTGGCGGCAGTGGACATTTATGATTTGGGTAGGAGGGTCTAGAAGGGAGTAAAAATAGATTTTATAACTTGCATTATTAAAATTTCCTTCCTTCTGTAGAATTACTGGTGACAGGACCTTAAATCATGGTACCATTGTCCTCAAGACCAAAGAGATGGTTGGTCACCTTTGGAATTCCTGGGCATAACATTGAAAATGAAAGTGAAGTTTTAAGAAACATTACTTTTTTAGGAAAAATGTGTGGCTGACCATCAGGTATCTCCACTAAGACTTCCTTTTAGAATTTGGATTTTATCCCTTTGAGATATAAATATATACCTTTACTCCACAATAGGTTTAATTGTACTACTTCATCTTTCCCTATTGAACCACATTTTCTTTTTCTTTTCCTTTTCTTTTTTCTTTTCTTTTCTTTTTTTTTTTTTTTTTTTTTTTTTGCATGGGCTTTCTCAAACTCAGAAGGGACTTTCAACATGTTTGTGTAAATGCAGACCAGATTTTTGTGAAGAATTGAATCAGTCATCCAGATCGTTCAGATAAAAAGTAATATATAATATAGCTATACTTATGGAATGCATGTTATCAATTAGCATTTTGCTGGGTTTTACTTTCTATTTTCCCAAAACAAAAAATAAAGTACAAGTACATTGTCTTGCTCCAGGTGAAACAGCCAGTAGCTCATATTTAAATTCAAGATCTGGCACTGTTCGTATCTTATCCACCATACCTCGTTGCCTCCAAATTTAACTTTTTAAATAACTGGATCTTATGATCCAGCAATCTCACTCTTGTGCATATATCCAGAGGGAACCTTAATTCAAAAAGATACATGCACCCCAATGATCATAGTGGCACTATTTACAATAGCCAAGACATGGAAACAACTTAAATGTCCATAGACAGATGACTGGATAAAGAAGTTGTGGTATATTTATACAATAGAATACCATTCAGCCATAAAAAAGGATAAAATAATGCCATTTGCAGCAGCATGGATGGACCTGAAGATTGTCATTCTAAGTGAAGTAAGCCAGAAAGAGAAAGAGAAATACCACATAATATCAATTTATATGTAGAATCTTAAAAAAAGACAAACAAACTTATTTACAAAACAAAAACAGACTCACAGACACAGA